AAAAGAAAAGAAAATCCTCTGGAGCACAGTTCTACTCTGGCACACCATGGGTTCATCTCGAGTCAGAGTCAACTCGATGACAAAGTGTAAACAGAAGTAGAAAGCAGAGATGGATGCAAGAAACATTAAGGAAAAATTTCTAGAACTTTCTGCCTGATGACTACTGTAATCAGTGACTAATATTGGGGGAGTACAGGAGGAGAAACAAAAATAGAAAATGAGAGAGAGGAACACAAAATTATTTCCAGGGCAACAGAGAAAATGATGGCCCCATTAATAGAAGCAGGGAGGTGCCACTCGTATCTCTTGGTGAAAATGAGTTCATTTTTGGTCAGACTGAATTAAGAGGGGATAGTCTCTTACTCTAATTAAGCTATTGCAGACATTCTTAGATGAGCTTCAAGTGACAATTATCTAATTTTTTGCAAACTGTTTTCTTCAACAAGTTTTTTTTTTTTGGTAGTAATTGTGTTGCTTTTATGTTCCTTAATTTTCTCATACAGCATCTTTTACCATCCTTTGTCCTTTATTTAGGAGCCCTGGTGGCGCAGTGCTTAAAATGCTTGGCTGTTAACCAAAAGGTAAGCAGTTTGAACCCACCATCTGCTCTGCAGGAGAAAGACGTAGCAGTCTGCTTCCTGAGGCCAACTCTTCAGACAAAGATTAGACTGGACTACGGGACATAAAATGATACTTGTGAAGTGTACTTCTTAGCTCAAGTAAACACATGAGACTAAATGGGCAGCTTCTGTCCGGAGGTGAGATGAGAAGGCAGAGAGGGTCAGGAACTGGTTGAATGGACACGGGAAATCAGGGGCGGGAGGAGGAGTGCGCTCTCACAGTATAGGGAGAGCCATTAGGGTCACATAACAATGTATGTATAAATTTTTGTATGAGAGACTCTTGAATTGTAAACTTTCACTTAAACTACAACAATAAAAAAAAAAAAAAAAAACCCAAACCTGTTGCTGTTTAGTCAATTCAGACTCATAGTGACCCTACAGGACAGAGTAGAACTGCCCCATAAGGCTTCCAAGGAGCCACTGGTGGATTTGAACTGTCGACCTCTTGATTAGCAGCCTGACTCTTAACTACTGCAGCACCAGGGCTCCATTAGGAGGGTTTAACCCGTACCTTGGATAGCAACTCATTTAGGGTGACCTAGAAGAAAAGGATCAAAGCAAATATTCTCGTAAAAGAGAGTACGGAGTTTTTCAGCAACCTCAATGCTGTACCTCTTCAGGACACTTGGTACATGTGCCTGTGGTATCACCTACCTTTGCTTTAATGCCTCTAGGGTTAAAAAGGTAGATTTTTCTAAAGGCTGATAGATTCTTCAAAATCCTCCTAGGGTAGCAGGAAAAACTAGTGCAAAGGCAAACAGGATGACTTAATGGAAATCAGGCAACAAGCCCAAGGGAAAAAGGAGGTTTGGAACCTAAAATAAATTGAATACATAACACCAAAAAAAAAAAAAAAAGATGTAGTAGTCTGCTTCCCTAAAGATTTACGGCCTTGGAAACCTTACAGGGCAGCTATAGTCTGTCCTATAGGGTCGCTATGTGTCAGTATGAACTCGATGGCGGTGGGTTTGGTTTGGTTTTGGAGTCGAGGACAAACGACCCATAGGCTATTGGAGTACCAAGTCTGACCGCCACTTTGAGATATGAGATATAGCTGGGGCAGTTTAATTTAAAAAGCTCTACAGGTGATTCTAACATAAGTCAGGGCTGAGAACTACAGACTATTCCACAGGACCTTCTGCTACCAGGGCACAGTCATCCACACCTTGTTGTTGGGGTAATGGGAACACACACACTAAAGTAACTCTCTGGTAGAGAATGTTATAGAGAGTAAATAAGGTTCTATTAGTGTTTAATGGGGGCAGGGGAAGGGCATTATAATTATATATATATGTATATATAATACATACATGTCTGGGTGTATATGTAGAATGAAACTATAATGTAACCATATTTTAAGAAGAAATAAGGAAACCGTCCAATTATTTTCTTTAAAAATGCAAAGTTCGAATGTAAATTAACTTTGAATTTTACAACCTCTGTCTTTTGAACCCTCTCTTGCCCCTCACCTGCAATCAGTCTGCCCAAACAACAGCTAAAGACTGCAGTCTCTTCTGGAAGCTGCAGCCTCAGCTTCCTCATCTTTAAAAGTAATGATTTTATCTGCTTCCCTACTTCCCCTGGTGGTTTTTGCTATAGAATGAAATGAAATACCATAAGTGACAGTGCTTATAAAATAGGTTTACCAATGTAAAATATTATTACTGTTTTATAATTAAATCTAGGATGTAATTTTTAACTTTGCCAATTATTCCCCACAAAAAAATCATGACTTTAATTCTTGGCCTGCATATGACCTTTAAATTTTAAGTAAGTTTGGCAATCTAGTCACCACAAATTAATGCTTAAAAAAAAAAATCGCTATAGAATGCTATTTTTTTCTTTTTCATTATTGTTTTAACCACTATTTCTGTGAATTTTCATTTCAAACCTAAGGCTCATTTCTGGAGAAATTTTTGGAGGGATACCTTAGCATTTTTGCTTAGTACTTTATTTTTTCATCATTTTGATTAAAACTGATTCATTAGCTTTCACAATATGGACACAGTTCAGTAGTACTATTCTATAACAAGAAAAATGAGATATAAGATGATTATATCACTCTCCCAAGGTATTTGGGCACCTATAGGAATCAAAAGTAGGGGCAAAAGTACACTTCTTAACTGTTGCGTCCTCACTAATCCAGACATCCTTTCCTCATAAGAAAGGAATTCTTTTACTAGCAAACACGTTTTTATCACATGGATTTTTTTCCCCTTTGGAAGTTTATGATCATATCAAATAACAATAAATCCAGCTGGCAATATTATAAATGGCATCCCTATGTACCTCCGGATTCCAATGCTTGCTAAATATGTGTACCTTTTTACAAAATTAAGCATAATTTTACATTAATCTTTGTTAAATTTGAAAAGCTCAGTAAGTGGAAACTTTTATTTTTAAATATTGAGTTTAAAAAAACTCAGTGTTCCTCTTTTTATTTTTTCTCAAGTTCAGCTATACATAAAGTTAGTCCATCAGTAATAAAGTTGCCTGATGAATTTAAAAATATTATATGGAATCAAATCCAGTTCAATTTTACCTTACTATTGAAGGCCCGTGTGTAAAGTCACACAAACATGTAGGTCACAGTATATTCAATGACTATAATGCCCAGTCAAAGATTAGCACTATGCCTTGTAACCAACGCTAAATAAATATCTCATGCCAACAGTTCAATATTACTGCCTTTTCCACGGTAATAACACTTAAAGTTTATCATCTTGTCATGTATCTTTACACTTAACTCAGAACATTGTGGAGAATTAACAGTAACATTTGCAAATACTCCATCAACTTTGAAGAAGTATTTAAGTGTCAACTCTTGCTAATTTAAGTACTTTAAGTTTAAGGAATTTAACTCGATACAAGATGGATAAATATTTTTAAAATTATTATAATTTCTTTATAAATTAAATCTTGAAGAGTACGTTGGAAACAACTAAAATCCTCTGTACCACAAAGACATAAACTTAAAAATATTTTGAAACAAATTTAAAAAATAAATAAAGGACAAGGATGACTAGGATGATTAAATCAAATGAGAACGTGGTAAAGGTTGCCTAAAGTTAATGATTATGTTATCATTTTGGAAAATCTGTGCTCTAGCCACACAGAAAGAATTGAAGCTGGAAACAAAATTGAGTTTGCTACATAAAACAATGTCTGATTTCCACAAACTGCATCCAAACTACCTATTGCTGCAAAGGCTGTCACCAAAATGAATGATATTCAGCAACATTCAGAAAAACGCAGAGAAGACTAAATCCTGCTGAGTTGCTCTATTAGCCATGTAAAAATATTTACACCACCCTCAAATTAGGCATATAGGTATTGGAAAAATGGGCCTATCCAAGTACTGAACATCAAGATTACCTTCCAAAAAGCAATGCTTAAAAATATAAAGAAAAAATAGAAACAAAAGCATGTCGTTGCAATTTCTAAAAGCTTAGAAAGAATCCTAAGAACAGTTCTTCCTCTTGAAAACAAGATTTAAGCATCAGAATACTCATTAAATCAGTATTTCTAACGCTAATACGGGGGTGAGGTGGTGAGAGTGGTGTCAGCGTTCGGTAAGGGCAGCGAGATTTTTAATCCAATAAAGACAATAACTCTGTTACAAAGCGTGACGGTCCTTGCAACGCGGAACGCTGACAATATGAAAACATAACTGAATTCTTAAATGCTGTGGTATTCAAATGACCTGCAGCGAGTGAAAACTCAGCACTCTGTTCTTTCTGAACAATGACCAAAATAGTGAATCAGTATAAATAGAATAGATGACACATTCAAATTGTCTATTCAACCTCAAATGTGCAAAGGTCTGATAGTTCCAGAGATAAGACACAATGTATTTTAATACGACAATATGGTCATTTTAGTCAACTGAATGCCTGGAAAGGAGGTAAGTTAGGAAAAACAGAATGAGACCAAGAGGAGGAAAGGGTGGGGGAGGGTTTGTTTAGGGAGAGCGAAAAGGAGAGCTGTTGAGTGTGAGAAGCAGAAAAAGACCATTGGGAAGGCTAACTGGTACCGGGGAGAAAGAAGACAGGGGATGAAACTGACCAAGTCCCGGACACGAGCAGAGGAGCCGCGAACTGGGGCAAGACCAGCCTTTGTTGATTTACCACTTGTCCCGAACTTTGAATTTTAAGCGCGTTTGTTTCAAAGCTCTCTCTCTACCCCTAACCAATTCAAAAAAGGGAGGAGTGAAGAACCGGGAAGCGGGTGCCAAGGGAGTTCATCTTCCCACATTTCATCTACCCGGGACACAAACGCCGGGATCCCACCTGGCGATCTCTCCAGACGGGGGAAACTCAGGGTCGGTGCGCGCGGTGGGGGAGGGGGGCGACTCCCCCTCCAAGTGGGGATACTTACGAAGACGCGCTGGGCACGAAGAAATCCACAGCAAAACCGAAGTAACTTCCCTCGGGGCCAGAGTACTCAGCAGGACTGTCCACATCTAGGTTGAAGGCGCCGCAAAGAGGCAGTAAAAGTCCGGGGATAAGGAACAGGAGATGGCGAAGGCAGAGGAACCGCCGCCTTCGCGGCTGAGAAGCCATCGCCAAAGTGCGCTCGGGACGCCGAGCCCGGAGCCGCGGCCACCCCTCCCGGGCGCACGGTGCCCGCGGCCCGCCTCTTGTGCGCGCCGAAACTTGCCGGCCGCTCGCTTCCCAGCGAGGTAGGGACAACGCCGGGGAAGGCAGGAGGGCTGAGCTTCGGGGAGGCTGCCCGGGAAGAGGGGCGCCGTGCGCGTGGGGCGGTGGCGGCAGAGTGGGCGGCCCTTGTCTCGCTCTGGCTCAGCGGGTCAACACCGCGTCTCGGGCTCAGGACTGTCGGGGTGAGAGCCGCACATCCCGGCCTAAGGACTGCGGCGCGCAGGGGGAGGAGGCAGCGGAGGAGGAGGAGGAGCCGGCCGGGAGGCTGAACTGCAGAGAGAAGGAAGTGGAGGAGGAGAGCTGGCCCCCGGCTAGGGAGAGCCGAGCGCACTTCCGTGCGCGGTGTCACCGCCTGTTCCGAGCCCAGGGCGCCTGTGCGGTGGCCCAGGACTCGCAGAACTCCCGTCAGTGGCAGCGCTCCCAGACTAGGGCCTCAGACCGAACCCTAGGGGCGGGAGGTGGCAGGGTCAGGGATGGTCTAGCGTCCCAGCCCGCGTCCATGGGAGCGCTGAGGGCCCCCCACATCCCCTGATTCCGCCGGGAGCTCCCGTGCGACTTTTTTAAAGTGAGGAAAGCTTTATCCGCTTTTCATGTTTTTGCTACTGAAAAGCCTGGCGGGCTCTCACAAACGAAACTCTTTAATTAATGGTCTTTTCCCTCCCCACCGCATCCCACACACAAACACTGAACATAATTACAAACTTCAGAATGCTAGCACAGCCTCTTACAGACATGTTAAAACTGAATTTAGTGGTCGACGAACGGATTGGCTAGGCAAAGAATCGGAAGCAGTCGTTTTGAATTCATAGACTAGTCAAAACTTTAATCCCAGTGTATTAGCTGGAATTGTATGATTTCAGTTAAATAACTCGTTGATTTATGATACTTATGTACACATAAGGAGCCCTGCTGGCCCAGTGGTTAAAGCGCACGGCTGCTAATCCACCAGCTGCTCTGAGGGAGAAGGATGTGCAGTTGGCTTCCAGAAAGATTCCAAATCCAAACCCATTGCCACTGAGTCGATTCACACTCCTAGCGGCCCTGTAGGACAGAGTAGATTCGAACTGCTGACCTTTTGGTTAGCAATCGTAGACTCTTTAACCACTGTGCTACCCTTGGAAACCTTATTGGGCAATTCTGCTCTATCCTATAAGGTGGGTATGAGTCAGACTCGATGGCAACGGGTTTTGTTGGTTTAGGTAGACATAACCTTAGGGCTGGAGAAGGTATTTAAAAAAAAAAAAAAAAACTAACAAACTCGTTGCCATGGAGTCAATTCCAACTCATAGCAACCCTATATTCCAACGAACACCTGGTAGATTTGAACTGCCAACCTTTTGGCTAGCAGCCATAGCACTTAACCACTACACCACCTAGAAGGAGGTATATGCACCAGTAAAATAAGGCCCCTGGGGGTTTACTGTGAGTGTGGTGTGTTCCACCACACCCTGACAACGCTAGACTAAGAGACTTACAGGAGAGTATGAACCTTGACCTTTTTCTTTATATGTCCAATTTCTAGCACCTTGGCGGGGGCAGACAGTAAGCAACCAATAAAATGTTGAATAAATGAATGGCAGGTAAAATGATGAGTAACCTCTGCCCAGAGAAATGACTTTCCCATATTCTGTATCTCATGCTAAAGAATCTGGAGAGTATGGCTGAAAGTATAAATGTATTGTGTGGATTTAAAAAACTTACAAGTACCGTAACAGTGATTTTGGATTTTTTCCCAAAGTAATAATTCAAATTCAATCACATTACTTATTAATCTGATAGCTATTAAATAATCCTGTGAAGGGATATGCATACAAATTAAAATGAAATGCCTCATTTGTATTTATAGTATTTGATTGCATTAAATATTTTTATTTTTAAATTCAACGAAAAGAAAGGTGTCCCCTGCTTATGATGTATTTGAGTTAGGATCATGGCACTTAGCAACTGCCTTTTTTGTTTATTTTGTTTGTTTTGTTTTGTACGTCTTATCGTTAGTAATATGTACTACATACAATGTTGCAGCATGTAATTTGCTAATGTTGTCATTCTGATGTTCAGTTGCAGTTGTTCAGTGTTATGATCTACTGTTCAAAACACTGTAGTATAGCAGGCTATGGCCTGGTCTACAATGAAATTGGTGTCGGGAGTCATAACTGATATAAAGTTGGGCAGTGTTCAACTCTAATGACATAAGGCAATTGAACTGCAATTGAACTGCGAAGGCACCTGACAACCATTACTTAATAATGCCCCAGGACATCCTCCTCACCCAGATGATCTAAATCCAGATGTGAAAGTGATGTATTTACCTCCCAATATGACAGCTGTGATTCAGCCTATGGATCATGGTGAAATTGCCTACAGACTACATTTTCTCCAGCAATAGTTGCAACAGATGGATGTATGGTAACATCACACAATTTCTGGAAGAATTGTATCTTCAGTGTATCCTGAACATTGCATCTTCCTGGGAGGAAGTTACAGGAAAATGCATGCAGGGTATATGGAAAAAACTGCTGAGTTAATGTGAACACGCTCCAAGCATGTGATCAGGATAATATAATGGAAGAGATAGGTGGAAAAGTCATCCATATGGTAAGAATGCTGAATTTAGAACTTGATATCGCCAATGTGAAACAGCTCATAGAAGGGGAATTGACAGACCAGGACTTAATGGATTTTGAAGAGGAAAGAAATACTGAAGAAGAAAGAAATAATGAAGAAGATGAAGGACAGAAATTGTCAAAAAATTTCACAGTGAAAGGATTAGCAGAGGTTTTTTTCTAAATTAAATAGGGGCTTTATTTTCTTGAAAACATAGACCAAAATGCTGATCGCTTTGCTAAACTGAATAGGCAGATTCAGGAAGCAGTAAGATGTTACCACAAAATACATGAAGAAAAAAGAAAAGGACCGTACAGACAACTCTCACTAATTTTCTGACCAGAAACACCGTCCCTATTCCCAGGGATAATCCAGATGATCCAGAACCTTCCACAAGTGGAGTTATTACCGCAACTGACAAAACGCTAACATTGTCCAACTCTTCTTCATTATCAGAGTAAATTTTTATGATTTGTGTATTTTTTTAATGTATGTATGTATGTATTAAAATATATCTGTAAGTTTATATGTAATATTTCCAACCCCCAAAGACAAAAATAAAGATTGGATTTATAAAGATACTGATAATAGGAGCCCTAATACATGGCATACACAGAATATGAGCCATAAGTAACAATGCACAAACACCAGAAGAGAAACTAGATAACTGGGAGCTCCTAAAAATTAAACACTTATGCTCATCAAAAGACTTCACCAAAAGAGTCAAAAGACAACCTACAGACTGGGAAAAAAATTTTTGCTATGACAAATCCGGTCAGCATCTAATCTGTAAAATCTACAAGATACTGCAAAACCTCAACAACAAAAGGACAAACAACCCAATTAAAAAATGGGCAAAGGATATGAACAGGCACTTTGCCAAGGAAGACATTCAGGTGACTAACAGACACATGAGGAAATGCTCACGATCATTAGCCATTAGAGAAATGCAAATCAAAACTACTATGAGATACCACCTCACCCCAACAAGGCTAGCATTAATCCCAAAAACACAAAATGATAAATGTTGGAGAGGTTGTGGAGAGACTGGAACACTTATACACTGTTGGTGGGAATGTAAAATGGTACAACCACTTTGGAAATTGATTTGGTGCGAACTTAAAATGCTAGAAATAGAAGTACCACACCATCCAGCAATCCCACTCCTTGGAATATATCCTAGAGAATTAAGAGCCATCACACAAATAGATATATGCACACTCTTGTTCATTGCAGCATTGTTCACGATAGCAAAAAGATGGAAACAACCTAGGTGCCCATCAACAGACGAATGGATAAACAAATTATGGTATATTCACACAATGGAATACTACTCAGTGATAAAGAACGATGAATCCATGAAACGTCTTATAACGTGGAGGAATCCAAAAGGTATTATGCTGAGTGAACTTAGTCGCAAAAGGACAAATATTGTATAAGATCACTATTATAAAAACCCAAGAAAAAGTTTAAACACAGAAGACAACATTCTTTGATGGTTACAAGGGTGAGGAGGGAGGGAGAGGGGTATTCACTAACTAGAAAGTAGACAAGAATTATCTTAGGTGAAAGGAAAGACAGCACACACTACAGGGGAAGTCAGCACAACTGGACTGAACCAAAGCTAAGAAATTTCCTGAATACAACTAAACACGTCAAGGGACAGAGTCACAGGGATAAGGGTCTGGGGACCATGGATTCAGGGGACATCTAGGTCAATTGGCACAACAAAGTTTTTTAAGATGTTCTGCATCCCGCTTTGGTGAGTGGTGTTTGGGGTCTTAAAAGCTAGCAAGCGGCCATCTAAGATGCATCAATTGGTCCCAACCCACCTGGAGTAAAGGAGAATGAAGAACACTATGGGCACAAGGAAAGTATTAGCCCAGGAGACAGAAGGGGCCACATAAACCAGAGACTTCATCAGCCTGAGACCAGAAGAACTAGATGGTGCTCAGCTACCACAATGACCACCCTGACAGGGAAAAAAACAGAGAGTCCCTGATGGAGCAGGAGAAAAGTGGAGTGCAGAACTCAAATTCTAATAAAAAGACCAGACTTAATGGTTTGATTGAGACTGGAGTGACCCTGGAAGATGTGGCTCCTGGGCTCTCTGTTAGCCTAAAACTAAAACCATTCCCAAGGCCAACTCTTCAGACAAAGATTAGACTGGACTATGGGACATAAAATGATTCTCATGAAGAGCGTGCTTCTTAGCTCAAGTAGATACATGAGATTAAATGAGCAGCTCTTGTCCGGAGGTGAAATGAGAAGGCAGAGAGGGTCAGGAGCTGGTTGAATGGACACAGGAAATCCAGGGTGGAAAGGAAGAGTGTGCTGTTACAGTATAGGGAGAGCAAGTAGGGTCACAAAACAATGTATGTATAAACTTTTGTATGAGAGACAAACTCGAATTGTAAACTTTCACTTAAAGCACAACAATAAAAAGAAAAAAAGATACTGATAATAAAAGGCAGTAATAAAGAAAACAAAACAAAACAAACGAGGTATTTGACTTATGTCAGAACCAACTTTTGACAGAGTTGTTGGAATGGAACCCCATCATAAACTGGGGACTTCCTGTACAGCAAA